AGCAATCTCTGAATTTAAATGTCACATTGTATCAGTCTTGCACCAAATCAGAGCTGGGTTTGTTAAAATGACTGTGCTGTTTAAAAATATAAAAACACCAGGAGATTTTTATTTTTTTTTAAATGAACCAATGTTTTCTTAAAGTTAAAGATATTTGACTGTTATGTCAAACCCATTTTTTTAAAAAGTAATGTCTGTTAATCTTCAAATTATCAAACACAGTTATCATTGTAGAAAATAACTTATTACTTTAACTTCAGAATAAATCTTTGAATATTTCTTTAAAAAATGTATAAACAGATTCTATAAACAATATAAAAGTTTTAAGGCTTGCACTCTTGGTTCATCAGTGGTTGACTTGCTTACATATGGTTTCATATTAATTTCCACCCCTTATGTTCTTTTGTCTGGTATTGTATTCGGTTTATTTAATTGCTGTGATCAGCAACTGGCTGTTGGTCTTGTCCTACTTATTGTGATATTGATGCAGAGATAACCTAATGGTACATGTTGTGTGATTTGTACATTACCCACTTAAATCTTTTTAAAAAATATATATATATATACATCTATACATATATAATTAAATATATGATTTACATATATTTTTCTGTCTGTGGAGCTATGTGGAATAATATTTTTTTTTCTTCAACACTGAGCTAGTTTTTTTTTTTACTGGGCAAGAGTTACTATTTTGTTAATGAAAATTAAAAAAGTTGTTAATGCATATTCCCACCAACAAATTAATAGCTTGATGAGTGTGACAGCTTTAATTAACTGCATATTAATATTTCTTTAAAATATTTTAAGTGATATAAACCCATTTTAAAATTTAAAAATACTGAGATTATTATTATTTAATATATCTTTAATTTAAATAACTTGACTATTATAAAAAGGAACATAAATTTGCTTAAGTCTTTTTTTTAATTATTATTTGATCCTGAACCTTTTCAGGGAATGAACACACAGCATACATTTATGTTAGTTGGTTTTTTTATGGCCTCATATTTAGATGCTCTGGTCCATAGATCTGATGAACATAAGCATTTAAGCTAAGTAAATAAATATCTAATTAAAATAAGTCTGTAACATTTTGTTTTCTTCTAGAGATATTACATCACCAAAAATGTGTGTTCTCACATTTAGAAGAATGGTTTATTGTAACGATATTGATACTTTTCTGTAATGGCTAATCACCAATTTTTGTGGTGGTTTTATTTTACGCCTCATTTCTTATGCTTAATGTATGTTTTTTTTAATTAACCCTCTCCTCCCAAGCAATCCCAGATTCAAAACAAGTACACTTGAATGTTTCTAGGGACATGACCTTTTCCTTTTTTCTTCAAGAATGTACTGTTAGCTTAGGTTTAAGTGTACCCAAAGCAGTATTATTATTTTTTTATTTTACCTGTTTTTCACTGCCAACATCTTTGGTGAGGTAGTTTAAAAAAAAAAAAGTTTGAAACCATTCATCAATTTTAAAAGGCCTATTATTAGTAAGTATTAATGGAGTCCTTAAAAATGTTCTCTGTAATCACAGGAAAATGAACATTAATCAGTTTAAATTCTTCTTCTGTGCACTGTCACAAATGGTTACATGATAAATGTTTTTTTAATGCTATTCTTTTTTTTACTATGAGTTTTATACATTTAAAAAAAAAAATTATTTTCTCTACCATATTTTCTGTCTTTTGCACTTTTGATATTTTTTGTATCCACCTTTTGTTTTTGGACACAGAATGGTTGTAGGGAGATACAGTGCATTATAACTGCACATTAACTTAAAACAGAACAACTGCCTCATTGCAATCTCTATGCCTTAACACATGCAAATAAGAAACATCCTAACGGGATGTTTCCCCAGTGAAATGATAAGCAGCCCAAAAATTGTTGTACCATTTTAGGCTATTTTATTTTAAAAACTGGAAATCGAAAGTTGCAAGCCCACTTATTGTTGTAACTCATATAATGCTTTCTCTTTCTGAATCATATTTGTTAATGCTAAAACTTGAATGAAGACAGAGGTTGGTAAAAACAAATGAATACTCAAATAATAAATACTCTGAAAATATTTTTCAACACTAATGTTAAAACTAAAATTTCCCATTAACTTTAATGAGGTATTACAATATTGAAAACTGAAGAAAATCAACTACACTGCTGTTGAAGCTATCTTAAGATCTAATTTTGACTTAAATTATACAATATAAAACTGACTTAATTAAAGTAGACATCTTCACCTCACCGTACCTCTTGTCTAAAATTTGTGTGCTCTTGTCTGAAATGCTTAGGTTAAGATTAAAAAGTTCAGTTATGCATTAATTAGAAGACTTAATAATTGCTATTTATTTTAGCTTAATTTAGGCAGTGCTCAAGTGCACCCTTATTTCTCCAGCTAAGATAAACTCTACTGTTTGGCTCACAGTTCTCTGTTGACTTATCACAGTCAGATCTCAATGGATATTTGAACATTCCCATTAAAAATGACATATTAACCTGTTGAAAGCAACCCCCGTTATTATAGTGCAGCAATAAATATAAAATTTGGACCAATAAACAAATTCTAATTGTTACAGTTGTCATTCCAGATTTCCTTGTATTTGAATGTTTCAGGATGCTAGAAAGAACTGCTATTTTATCTAAACCACCGTTAACATTCCTATCATCATTTGCTGATGTACATTTCTTCACCTGTGATTCCCCTGTTATGTTAGTAAAAAAAAATGTTTTTAATTTAACTTTCAAACTATTTATTTTATTAAATAAATATGTGTACCAGTGCTTCTCGAACTAGAAAAAGTGGCATGTTGAATTAAAAAATGTCTTTCTTTTTAGTAACCAATTTTTTTAATGCGCAGAAATAAGATCACTGTTGAATATATTTGAAAAGCACTGGTGATTAAAAAACTTTAATATAATGAAGACTATTTATTTAACAACAGCATCTTTTACTTTTAGAGATTATAGCAGCATGAAATTGATAACATGCCATTTAAATAATTATTATGCACAATTGTCATTTTAAAAAAAAAAATATATTGCTGGTATTCTTCAGAAATTAAGAGTGAATTGCATTGGACGACAGTACACCAGGTATGATCCAATTGCAAATAATTATTGTAATTTTAAAAACAAGTTTGTTTTTCGCAACATGTAAAGTCATTGGTCTGCCTGTCTTCTAGAGCTCTATAGTATTGTGTAGATGTTATGGTGTTTGTAGAAAGCTAAGCCTAGCTAGTGCAATAAACATTACTGTTCTACCCCCAGACACAATTGTCTTTTTTTATTTAAATTGTAATATTGTTACATTACCAAATCAGAAGCTAAATCATAACATCTATTGTGCTTATAAAATTGGGCCTTGCGGTAACGCCCTTTTTGTTGCAAGAGCTTTGTTTCGCGCATCTTCTGCCTTTTTGACTCCTTCATACACTGCTGTTCACCAGCTCGAATGGTGCTAAGGGATGATCTCCCATTCCTTGATTTCTATGTTGGCTTCCCTCATATTCCCTTTGCAAAAATCCTTAAATTGCAGCCATTCAATAATTATTACCCCTTCTGTCAACTGTCCATACAGCAGCTCTTTTGGAGTACAGCCTTCCTCCATTCTCCTTTCATGTCCTAACCAGTGAAGGCGCCTCTTGCTTATAACGGAGTGGCATGTTACGAAACCTGTGTGTTGGGCACTTTGTCCTGCCAACGAATTTGCAAAATGCAAAGCAGACATCTTTTGGTGTAAGCTGCAGAATTTCCGCTCATGACTGGCATATGTGGTCCACACTTCACTGCCATTTAGTATAGGACCATACTGAGTATACATGCCTGATAATCTCTTCGTCAAATAAGAGTGAGATAGAGATTTTGGACTAAAGGCATGTGAAATTCTCAATTACTGACAGATTTCGGCCTTCAATAGTTACGATTGGAGGGGACTGAGCATCTTGCATTATGGCATTTTCTTTTTGAGGATTAATGGTCAGTCCAAACTCTTTATGACATTTTCTTTCTGTGGACTAATGGTCGGTCCAAACTCTTTACATGCCTGGAAAAGGCGATAAATTCACCACTGTGTGCAATGTTAAGGCGCAATCGTCGGTGAACAGCAGTTCACAAAATGGCATCTTTTACCTTGGTCTTTGCATGAAGGCAGGCGATATTGAGCAGCCTACCATCAGATCTGGCATGGTTGTACACTCCGTCTTCACAGTCCTTGAAGGAGGACGGTAGAGGCATTGTTGCAAGTATGCAGCCTTGCTTCACTTCGCTGCCGACTGGGAATGCCTTAAAGATCACGCCATTGAAGGTTACTGAGCCGTGCATGTTTTAGTGAAATGACTGTATGATTGCAAGCAGTTGTGGGGAACAACCTATTTCATGCAATACTGAACAGGCCACTCTGGCTCACCAAGTTGGCCAGGTCTATGAAAGCAACGTAAAGAGGTCTATGTTGTCCACGGCAATACTCCTGAAAATGTTGTGCTAATAATAATGCATTTGTAACATGTCTTTAGATTTAATCCAGATCATAGCCTTTAAAGTGTGGTTGATGAAATATACTACCTAGTTCTAGTAGGCAAAGCTATCCCTAGGTTAATTTACTTAGAAGATTCTTTCTCTTTGGATATTTATAGGATATGGTTTTCCAAGCAAATTTCTTTTTCAAACTTGTAATTGGAATGAGATCCCATTGGTCTTATGAATTATGCCTGGAGATGTTCACATTCATGAGCAATGTGAAAAAATGGGTGTGACAACAAGACCAAATATTTGTAACTGCCACACCAAAACTGCCATTTAATGAGTTAAATGAAAGCTAAATATGTAAACTAAATCTACAGATTAAGTGATTAAGCCAAACGCACTTCCATTTAAATTTTTTAACTGATAGCTCAAAGTCCTCTTTTCGAAGGGATTGTCTTCTTCCTTCTCAATAACATAAATCACATGACATTCTTTAAAAAGTAGGTTACATTGAAATAAAATACAGACAACAAATGTATTTAAATAAGAATTTATTATGGAAAAACACCAACTGGTGTAATGCCCTATTACTATTATATTTCCAAACATAATCACTCTGTGTTATAGTCAACTTGATCTTATTGAACTTGAGGGTAAACAAGGCCAATGATTACAAAAATTATAAAAATTACATAACAGGCAATCCAAATGCTGTTTCGGACTCAACTCTTGCAAGTGGCTAGTGAATTGATGATGATCGATGGATATAAACCAATCTTTCACCGTAGATTGATTGAAAGGAACCACTCAGAAGTTCGAGTCAGACAAGCATCATGCTGGTAATGGTTGTTCTACAGTCCTATAGTGTAGGATCTTCCCTTGGGGTTGTGGATCGGTGAGACCTGACCACCGCAACGGAAGGCCCACTCATACCATACATTTTTGGGGGTGCACCTACGCCAGATATCTACGGTCACGGTGGAGTTTTTGCTCATCATTATAGGCACCTGTTCAGAAAGATTGTTGAAGAGAAATGATAAATTAACTTTTCCAATTAGTTATAAAGTCAATTTCACTCTCCCCAACTTCTTGAAGTCTAAAATATAAATTCGAACAGCTAGCAAATCATTGCATATTTATGTTTACATGGAGGAATCTACTCACTCTTATAGGGAAAAATATGGGAAACCAGCTGAACATGCCTGGAGAGTGAGTATCAGGAACAATACCTGCAATATGAAAACAGCGGGTTTTAGTTTATGTCATTTAATATTAAAAAGTTCATTACAAAGTGATACCCATAAATTTATAGACTACATGTTAAGAAATAAAACAAATATTTTTCTAACACTTGAACCAACACTTATAGCTTTTTAGGATATTTAAATAAAATAAATAAATAAAACAATAAACAAAAAAACACTTTCTTAATATTTTTTCAAAATGTTATAGTTCATCCTTTATATTCTCCATTCTTACAGTGATTTGTATTAGGTAACACATTACAATAAAAATATGTGGAGCTTACTTAGTGTAACATCTTTGTAGAGATTTGAGTCAAAATACCCGGCAAAACCATGCACTATGGCATCATGTGAAACATTGAACTCCAGAGATTTGAAGCGGCAATTGTCAATCACCACATCTGTAAAAAAAAAATTACCATGCAATCAGGTTATTTATAATTGATTTAATTACTTGAAATTCTACTCTATTGCCTATTCATTAATTTTGCAAACTGGTCAACTTATCCAACGTATGGTGTCGCTCCAATAATCTCTCAAATGATCTAAGAAAATTAACCATAATTTTATTTAAAAAATAATAGAAAAAATCCTACCTTTATTTGGATGAACAAATGTAAACACTGGCTGAGGCTTGTCGAGGTTAGCACAATTGTGAAGGCGAACAACATATGGCATTTCAAATGGAGCCTATAGAGAATATTTGACAATTATATAAAGTTGACTTTAAAATCTCAATCCAGTGAACATCTTGTATGAGAAGTTCAGTCATAATTTCAGAGTATCCAAGTTTTTACAGGCATAACAATATTATATTCACTTACAATTTTTTTTTATTGCAGCCAAGATCTTGGAAATGCATTGTTGCTCAATTTAACATAATTTTTTTAATTAATAAAGGCTTTAATTCAGTTCTATATAAATGCTGATGCGTGTATTATTTACTGCATACTCAGGAAATAAAATTAGCCCAGTCCAATAATATTTTAAAACAAATGATCTAATTATAGTTTCTATTTATCCTTGTAGATGTAAAAAAAAAAAATCACCTCTGGTGGCTTGCCCCTCTCAGCTTTTGATGCTCTAACCTCATTGTAAAGCTTTGATGACATCACTGGTGCCAAGTAGGAGGTATACTTTTCAGGAATACTGATTCCATCCTCTGTGAATTTGTTCAAAACATGAGGTTATGGAAACTCACAAAGATTTTACAAACATAACTGCACAAATTTACTTTAAGAGGTTTTTTCATTTCAATGTTCACTAATATAAAAATCCTTTATGATGATTTTTTTCATTATGCTCTGTTTGAACAAGTATCAAATAATTTACACTTTCTGCAGCACATAATTTTTCACTAGTAATTCAATCATTTTGTGTGACTTGTGCTGATTATGGAGAATTAAATACTGAATGAAAGTTTTCCCTGATTAAATGAACAGACATTTCAAGACACCACAAATGGACCAAAAGAAAAAAGAATAACACATTAAACATCTCTGATTGACCAAGTGACATTATTACACACATTTGGAAAAACAGTTATATGTGAATCTCAAGGATTTTTGGTAAATTTCTCATTCAGCTTACCTAAAGATATTCAGTTTAAAAAAAATTATTATAAAGGTCTCGATTTGACCTTAAAAAATTACTTTTTCCGTTACCTTTGAGATATCTCTGGGCTCCATCCAAACACTCTGGTGACAACTCATTGTCCCCAAAAGAGCCTAGCAGTTCACTGACAAGAATATCTGTCTTCTCTGGTGCCTCCCACTCCCTCATGTCACAGGAAATGACTTCCACAAGATCTCCCCATTCTTCATCCTTCATGTTCTCCAGGCTATACAAAAGAACGAAAACAATAAATATTTATTGTAGGCAGACATTCATAAACACATGCCTTAGAAAAATCCTGACCATCAATTGGCCAAATACTATCACCAACAAAGATCTACTAGAAAAGACATACCAGGTGCCCATTGATGAAGATATCATAAAGAAACGATGGAGGTGGATAGGGCATACGCTCCGAAAACCCCCAGATAGCACCACCAGACAATGCCAAACATGGAACCCACAGGGAAAAAGAAAGAGAGGAAGGCCTAAGAAAACGCGGAGACGTGAGCTAGAGGCAGACACACAAAATATGGGATACACCTGGAAGCAATTGGAAAGGAAAGCATAGGACCGTGATGAGTGGAGAATTCTTGTGGACGGCCTATGCCCCAGACCGGGTAAAAAGGCATAAAGAAAATCTGTAATTTCCACGTAACATTATAATATAACATTTAAAAAAAAAAAATCATCAAATTTAACACCTGTATATGGTAATATAATTTGTGAAAATCCACATTGCCATTTGTTATTATAATTTAAGTTTTTGCATGTTTAGATATCAAATTCTTCAGCTTAACGTGTTGTGATCTTTGCAATGGTACATATGCACCAAAAACTGACAATGATGGAGAGTAATAAAATAGTGAAACTATAACTACAACTGTCAACATGTTCTCATGGGCATCTACAAAACAATCTATGCATGAAAGCAAAAAACGGCTATATTTACGTTATAACAGCATTTGGGTTCTTTTCAACAGCATACAACTTTCTAATCCTGACACCAATTTCCTGCGCAGCAGCGAGGGAGGCACGAACAAGTGGCCCTCTACCAGCTCCTACCACCATAATTACCCTAGAAACATTGTAAAATTGATGTAAGGGGAAAAAAATCAACCAAAATTGTACACGTTTCATCAGTAAACAAAAATCAACTAAAATTGTATTTGTTTCATAAAAAAAAAAAATCAACTAAAATTGTATTTGTTTCACCAGAAAGTAAAAAAAAATCAACTAAATTTGTATTTCTTTCATTAAAAAAAAAAAAAATCTAATAAAATTGTATTTGATTCATCAGGTAAATAATTTCTTCTTCAAGTTTCATCTTAGCATATCTGGACAATAAAATATAAAACACCTGTGTTATACCATACACAAGTCAATAAATACAGATGCAGGAATATCCTGAGATGCTGTCAGATTTGAACTTATAAGAAGGCAAAAAGATCTACAAAAAGTAATGCGTCTCAGCTTGTCTACATGACATTAATGTCAATAAAAAAATATGTCAACTCACACATCTTGTTCATCTCGCTTCTCTAGAGGAACTCTGTCCTTTAATGCCTCATACACAGCCTATGAACAAAAGATTGAAACTTTGCTAATCATTGCTAATATTTGTTAATAATCCAACTGAACATGTCAAGAAATCAAGGATGCTTATAAAAAAGGGCTCTTATTTTGTCCCTAACATTAAACCTGTTGTTCTTCAAAAAGGAATTAGTAAATTGTTTTCTTAAACATCAAGATACTGTTATAAAGAGAAGCATACATAACTGAGGAAGCCAAACTTACCTTTTGATACTGTGAGTATTTAATAGGATCTTTTTCAAATATTTCATAGGTCTGAGATTCCAAATTGTCCATCAATGGCTTAGAATAAAAGAGAATCTTCAATTGTAATTTTTTTATTTATCAAGTATTAAACACATTTTTACATATCATGCCACTTGATCAACACCCCTCCTCCCCTTTTTTTTTTACAATGAGTACACAGAAATCATTTACCCTGAACTTTAAAAAAACTACAACAAAAAAAAACAACAAAAAAATCAACTATTCAAAATTAAACAGTAAGACGAACAACATCCAAAAAAGTATTTAAAATTAAATATTTACAATCATTAATAGAAAACATCAATATCTAAAAGTTTGATAAAAGAGATTTTAAAAAAAAACATATCTAAAATAATTTTCTAGAATTGTTGAAAAGTCTCCGCACATGACGTTTCCACACATGACAAATATCCCAATCATTAAAAACCTGTCCCACCACAGAGCATACATTTAGTACATGGATGACCCTCTTAGAAAGTTTTCAGGACCATTCAGTTCTGGTGGCAGGCAGTACACATAATGTGGATGACTGTGTGCTTGGTGATACACATATAGTGGCTAAAGAGCATACCTGTAGTGGAGATTGGAGAAAATCTTCATAGCCTTTGGCAAACTGGCTAACAGTATCAAGTGGATCCTGGGTTTGCCACAAGTGGTCAATGTATTGCTGATATGCTCGAATGGTCTTTTCAGGATGGCGATCTTGACCTGTGATTATGACCTGTGCTTCAAGCTAGAGAAAAATTTTCAACTCATAGCTAAATAAAGCTCAATAAAACAAAATTTAAGTCACATGATCAATAATTAGAATGAGTAAAACAAGTTAGAAGGCAAAAGAATTTTTTTTTGTTATAGGGAAAACATTTATTTATGAATTTATCAAATTTGAAAGACAGAGTTACTTATTTTTTAGAAGCACATTTAACAGTAATAAATAAAAATAAATTGTGGCTTGTAACTGTCATATGTTATGATACAATATTCCACAAGTTATTAGCAAAATGTATTCCCAGCCTGCAACTAGAAGATGTGATGTGTTTTGAGGCTAGGCTGCCTATATAGTCCAATAGGCAGTTGGTAACAAATGTTGCAAAACACATTACTATGAATAAAAGCTCTTAAAAGAGATTGAATTAACATTTTGTGTAATGTTCAGTTCTAATTCCAATCAGCCTATTATTGCACACATTTTTAAAAGGTTGCTAATTTGTATTATTTATGTTTTTTTTTATTTCTCAGACATTTAATTAAGCATGATCTATATCAGAGGTTCTGAAAGGGTGTGCAGCAAAACTTCTGAGACTTTGTGTTATTGATGAATTAATTAAAATAATTTCACTTAATATTCAGGTACTTCAACTTATTTTAAACAGGATTTTTATTGGCTTACAATATCAGATATAATATGCATGGAATTACAATTCAAACTCAAAATTTGCCAAAACATTAGGACTGCAAGCCTAAAACAACAGACTGGTTAAAACAAGCTGTGCACATGTTAAACAGAGGCTCTCACATAGTTGCTAAATTGCATGTCCCCTCTAATATTGTTGCATACTCGTATCTTTGTGCACCGTTGGAACTTAATACATAGGATAGTGTGTTGTGAACACAAAAAAAATGGTTGAGAACTACTGATCTAGATAATTCAAATTAGATTTCCAAGGCACACAAAGAAGGGATTGATGGTTACAGTGGGTCCAATGCTATAAATTGGCTTTACTTGCAAATAAGTCCATCTTCAGAATTTTTTTTAAAAATATTTTTTTTAAAACTAAAAACTTTCTTATACTCTATTATAACATAAAGCAAATAAATTCTACCTTAAACATTTGTTTAATGAAAGCCTGGTGTGGCCTGGCAAGAACAGGATACCCCTTGTGGTTGGTCAAGAAAAGTGAAGTAGACACTATGACAGCTTTGACTGGTTCTGAGAGCCATCGTTCCATCACTTCGTTGGAAGGAAGGTCCGCCGTTAGTTCCAGAGCTACACCAAGCCTTTTATTAGAGTCACACAGTGACCTGAACAGGTTCCACCTGAAAAAAATACACAGAAGATACTTCACTCAAATCATTGTGAATAAAATGTTTGGGGGAAAAACAATGCACTTTCTACATTTCCTAAGTCTATTTGGAGACATTTCTCCTGTAATTAATTAATGCTATTTTACTCTGCCATTGCATTTCTTTTTTCTGTCAGAGAAAACGTTTATTTACTATCCCAGGAAGCATCTAAGGCTCTAAAATATATTTTCTGCTGGTTTTAAGGAATCAAAATAATCTGAAAACCAAATCGGAAAATCTAAAGTAGCACAGTTAACATGAAGATATTTTTTTTAAAGTAATCGGAAAATGAAACAATGGAGAGTGAAAACATAAAGATTTAAATTTTAACGGGTTAGAAAATAAATCATTAACTAGTCAGCTCACCAAGCCCACGTATCCTCATATTTATCATCAACCATATCAGTGTCCATCCCCTCGATAACAGGATCACACATATCAGCAGGACTGACTAATGGAACTTGAATCCAGTATTGCTTTTGAAAAATATAACAATGAAAAATGTAATTCATTAATTTTAATTTATAGTGTATAAATTAATAAAGGAAGGAAATAGAGAACTAAAATACAATAAAATATGAATGTTTCCGCTAAGAGTCTTCCTCAGCAGACAGGACAAATGAAAAAATAAAACATGATATTGAACAGAGTAAAACATCCCATTTAAACGGAGATAAACACTAAGGGACATCAGATGTTTCCAACACAGAACTGATTTCCTACACTAATAATACCAATAAAAGTTAGAAAGGAAAAAAAATAATTCAACTTTTCGGCATAACATCACCATAAGGAATTAATCAAATTCTCTCTCACTTGAGAAGCTACCACATGCCTTGTTCTTCTTAAAATTACACTGGGACTTATAAAGATTAAAGCAGTAATTTCTGGAAATGTTTTCTTTCAGCATGACATCTAAGTAAAATTAAATGAACAGTTTTTAAATTATAGTTTGTATTTGTAAAAATGTCCATTTCTTAGCCTAGGCTTGACCTCTGATAACTCCTAACTATTTACCTGCTGGTAGTAGCTTGTAGTAACCTGCTCACTTATACACTGTGCCAGGTTGACACAATTCCTACTTCTAAGAGGCATCAATACAGCAGGGAGGCCTAAATGAGCTGACCATGTCAGTTCTTCTTTTAAAGCCTGAAATTAACATTTTTAAACGAAATGAGGAACTGTAATGGCACATTTAGAAGAATAGTGATCAAAGGTATGTAAAAAATGTCAACTTTAATCATTATACTCTTCAAAACTCCCAGGCAAATAGCATATTATATATTTATTTTAACAAAAAACCACCAATACCTTACATAAGATAAAAAAAATTCGTTCCATAGTTTTATACCTTCGATAATCTTCTATATTCCCTTTTTTTAAATTAAAATTTCTTTGGGGCACCCTCACAATGTCTTTTGTTATATTATAACTTTTGTAAACATATTGTCTCTTTTAATAGAGAGGACACAGGGCAAAAAGTTTAAGAATTGGAGATATTGATTTTTAAAGAAATAAAAATTTCTGACATAAAAACAAAGCCTTCCATTTCCATCCAAATTTATGCACTCTCACCAATTCACTATTCTTTCTTGTGTGATAGTGTTTAGAATCAAGTTGAAACCATGGTGAGGTCTTCCCAACAACAAGACTGTTCCAATCTGAGAATGAAGCAAAAATCCTATAACATGAGCATGGGGTTTGCAGAGTTTAAATAAGACAAAAGTGACTTACAAATAGCCCAACTTTGTTCAGTGGGTGACAGTCTGACTACCAAGTTTTTTTTAAATTCCAACCTCTTAAGGTGTCGTTGCATTTATTTCATCCCAATGTATGTTAAAGAGTTAAATTGTGGAAATATTTGTCAAACATTTCATATATTGATAGCATGATAAACAATAATAACCATACATATGACTGAAAGAAATCTCTCTTGTTATTTGTTGGAACATATTTTTTTTAGCCCCAATGGACCTGTCATAGAATGCCATGAATGTATATAAATTTTAAAAATGGCAAAGCATGTTAATGGCTTTTTAGATTACACTAGAATTACCTTGACTTGATAAGCACATATCAGAACGAGTGAGAGCACATTTTCTGTCTTTAGCTGGTCCACTCATGAATTCACGCTTGAAACGTGGATTTACAAGAGGCAAACAAACAAAGTCATAGCTGTAAAATACATAGTATAATTAGTATACACATTTTAATTCTAAGCATTCAAACAAATCTTCAACAAAGATACCACCCTTTTTTTTTTTTAATGAACATTTGTTTTTACCTTAGAATCAACTGATAAATTCATTTAAAGTTACAAAAAAAACTACAACATAATTTATTAAATAAATGTTTATATCATTAAAAAAAAAAATTCAATAACATTTTACATTATGTAATGAGTCACAAGTTTATTTATTAAGCTCTACAGTTTTCTTTGCAGTTCAATAATAAAACAAAAAGTCCAATATGACAAAATTTAAAAATGCATTTTATTGATCATTTTTGTTACTTTGCAAGGATTACAAAACTTGGGGGGGGGGGGTCATATACTATTATATAACACAAAAATACTACATTTTTTACCCACCACCTACCCCTTATAACTTTACAAAGAAATTCCCTAATATTATACAATATTTCTAGCGCAAAGACACCCTAACCCCCCAATTGAATAAAGTCCAAAAACAAGCAAAAAGACAGCAATAAGAATTTTTACTGAATGTGCTAATTATTGTTAGCAAAATTTTTAAAAATAGTTTTTAATAATCTATGCTAATATCGTACACTTGAAAAGCATAAATTTTTCAAAAATAATAAATATTAATTAACAATAAACACTAGCATTTTGGCAGATTTTTATAACAGAAAGACTAAAAATATACAAGATTGGCGATGAACGTCAATTATGATTTTACAAATTTAAAAATTCCAGACTAGCTTGAAAATGTCCTTACTAGATGGTGTGACGATCTGAGGCTGGACTTTGTAAAATTTCTTCCATCGTAAATCCGCCCTTGGAAACCCTTGGAAAATAATACCTTTCCCTCCCCTCAAGTCGCCCTGCAGTCGCATAGCACGAGTGAGCTCCCCTTAGTGTTATCGCATTTACACATCAGTTCGCTCACCCCAAAAAGCATGGAATTTGTGTTCAACCCTCTCACCGATGAACCTTCAGAAAAATAATACCATACCGCCCATCATTTTTGCCCTGGAATCAGCAAAGCGGAGTATCGTCCCTTGTTGTTATGACTTTCTAAACCAGAAAACTCATGCCAAAGCGTGAATTTTGATTTTCACCTCAGCCCGATAAACTTTGAGGGTAGAAGGTCAAACCCGCAATATCAAAAGTGATTATCATTGGATTGGAAAACATACAACATTTAAATCACCCAATTGAATCATCACCCTACTCAAATTAATAGCCCGAACAAGCAAGAATATGTCTTTTATAATCTGATCACTTGACCGTGGATGCTGGAAGGATCTAGACTTAGTACTTCTTTAGCGTGATACATAACTGCAACCTAGGATATTAGCAAGTATATGACTTTTAAGATCTGATCACTTGATTGTGGAAGCTTGAAGTATCTAGACTTAGAACTTCATTAGCGTGATCATTAACTGCGACTGCTACTAAGAGTACTAGTAAGTACGCAACCATGATTTTGATATTATGTTATTACACTTGCATTGTTCATATAACTATGTAGCAAATATTCGATCGTGCTTGATCTTATTCTAATAATACCTATATTACATTACATTGACATTATGAATTCCATTATTGCTTTTGCCGCGGGCTACAACACGCCGCCATCACATCATGGGGATGGTAGGTTGTTGTTCCAAATCACCCATGTCTCTTTTAACGAGAAGATAATATGTATACTATGAACCTGTAAATTTAATAATTGATAATGATTCTACGTCCCATACTTCATTTATTAAAATGTTTGCTTGGTCCAACCTTGTCGCGAAGCAACATATGCTCTCGCCGACAATGACAAGACTAATAGAACAGTGTTATGATTCTATCCACAAATTGGATGTATATGTTTAAGCTATGTCACCTTCCTTACATCCATCTGAATTCATTGCTGTTGGAACAGGACTTATCAGCTTATGGATATTCGCCTGGATACTTATCCATTTTGTATCATTTTGCCTTTAGCCAGGTTTCTATTACTGGACCGAGGTACCTTGAAGCTGGAACTAGGGGAATGATTTTATTTATTTATTTATGCATTTTTGTATAGCGCTTACCTTACAGCCCTAAGCGCTTTACAATTATTAGAAATATGTAAACTATTTAAACTGCTAAAGTAAAATAAAAATGAAAAACCAGAGACACTAGAATAGTAACTACAATGTGAAAAATGTATAACATTAAAATGGCTATGAAAACGAGTACACTTTGGCACGTTTTGGCCTATACTACAGGATCAATCCGAGACAGAAAATGAGGCAGGGCAAGGAGGATGCATCACAGGTCATAGCCGGAACTAAACAGATGGGTTTTAAGGGACTTTTTGAAAGTGGACGAGGTTTCACAATGACGGATGTGGAAGGGGAGCTGGTTCCAGAACTTGGGCGCATGGAAGTAGAAGGAGCGTTCACTGATGGTCTTAGTTTTGGTTCTTGGGATTGAGAGGGTTCTATTGTCAATTTACGTCCTACACCAAACTACATGACAGCTACTAGAAGGACTTCGAGATCCAGGGACTCTCACTTCCAAGATTTACCGCTGGAGAGTCATCTTCCCCATCGCAGAGATCCCACGGAATCTACGACCGGGAACTCCGACTTCGCTACGCTTAGAACAGCTCCGAAGATCGGAACAGGGACACGCTTCTGGAACAGAAGGACATCCCAAACTGTGTGATCCACTGAGATCAGCACCGGAATTATAAAGGCTAAGTCAACAAAGATTGAGAATAAAACTTGAGCAATATAGCATTGATAATGATGATACCGTTAGTATTTTAGGGACACTTGCATTGCTTTGATATTCCTTTCTAAATTGGATGAACTCCATTTCATGTATATATATTAACCATTATTAATCACTTAGTGTATTACGGAAGAATTTGTATATATATCATTATTCAATAAATACTTATAGTTATTTTCTTCTTAACAAAGACTTTGATTCAGTCTATACTATGTGTATATAGATAGGTTGTTATGTCTGTGTGGTAATTTGGCTTAAATAAAAAATCCCTAGACAGGAGTGCCAAGCAAAGCTCTCATACGAGAGATACCCCTCACTAATAAGTCATAAGTCAGATCACCACAGATGGTTCATTTTCCCAGTTTTCACAACAGGGAAAATTATTCAATAAATTCATGACTATTTCCTGTTTTCTCAACGGTGTGGGGATCCTGTATATAACATTGCTATCAACCACCCCACTCCATATAACACAATATAACTAAACTAGAATATATGAACCTATATTATTGGGATAATGACGGAAGGCACTTTGCGATAATTCCTACTTGCTATTGCAAACACTCATCACAACTCATTATTTTAAAAAGTATCATGTAATGATGTTTACATTTCTAACATCATTAAGTTTTGAGAAGTATTTTTCGGCTATATATTATACGCCGCCTTACCCCCTTTCGCGCCCCTAAGCTTTTTCCTCTTAACATGACCTTAAATTAACAAATCTAAATGATCACCAATTAAATCATAATTGTCATAAGAGGAGTTCAGTGACGGCTGATTTCTACGCTAGAGAAATACTTTAGATGTCTTGATTATTTAATGTTGGGCCTACCCTACCCCTTTTCGTGCCATTGAACTACAATTTTTTTCTCTAAAAGTTGTGAAAAAAATATTCTTAAATTTACAACAAAACTCTATATACCATTTTAAATATATTTTATGTTAACGGAATTGGACAAATTGATATCTTCATTAAAAATTTAACAAAACTTTTGCCTTGATTTTTTTTACAATATTATCTGAAAATTGTAAAACATAAAATTCCTTTATGTAAAGAAGTATCTCTTAACCGTTTTTCACATCTATAACAGCGTTAAGTGTTTTTTTAAAAGAAATGTTATTGATCTCATACAAATATAAACTTACTTTACTTTTCACAAAGTGAAAACAAAAATATATTTTAAATTTTTGAAAGAAAATCTTAACCCATCTTTGTTCATGCCCATGAATTGTAAATTTTAAAAAAATATGGCCTTATTTTTAAGATTAAATTTTCATAAGTCTAAAATGATTGGGTTTTGATATTCATCTCTATACTTATGTAAATGTACCCAAGTTTTGTCAAAGTCATTGATTTTCTTAGTTGGTAAACATTTGTTTATTTGTAACAAGAGAATGTGAAACCTCTCTTTCACTACTGTAATAACATGGGATTTAAATATATTGTCATCCACTTGAAAATGAGTACACCCTATTTCCAACCCCTGATATATATGTACCTAAGAAAGTTAATTATTTATCAAATTCATTCCTTTATTCTGAGGCGTTTCTTGTGCTGCCTGGGGCAAAATGAAAGTATTGAATCCACCTCCCCAACAGTTTTTAATTTAAAAAATTAATAAAATCATCCACAGGTTGGTAGACCCCTATGGACGCAACCACATATTTTTTGCACATCCCTGAACTTAATTAAAATTCTAAAGTCCCAGATCCCTTTTACCACACATTGTTCTTCTAAAAAAATATATATAATTATACGCATAATTCTGTGTATTGATATATTTTGGTTATTTATTTTAAAATTAAAAACTATACCAAAGTTTAAATCCGTCCCATAAGTGTTTCTTTCGATATAGATATCAAAATGAAACAATTGCAACTTTTTTAGTTTGTTCTTAATGGGATGAGTGATAAGTGAATAAATGAGAGCTATTAGCTTATGAAGTTTTGCTGCACTAATTGACTTAAACATTTTCTTATTAAAAGTATTTTTCAACGTTAAGTTTTTATTACTTTATAAATTTGTGATAAGAGTACATTTTCGGAATAATAAGTAAAAAATTGTTAAAAATACAGAGCTAAACTAATAATTTAAAAAGCAATCAATTATATTTATTAATTTTACTTTTAAAAAGGGGAAAATACATTATCAGTTTTGTCACACGCAGTTGTTACATCAAAGAAATCTAAAGCTTTTGTTTTGCAAATTTAAATTTTGCGCTTATGAAATTAAAATAATTTTTCTTTATTTGAGTCAATCGAAAAATTAAATTTGATATAGTTTGAAGACATTTAGATCAAATTAATTTTTAACTAACTTGCTCTGACCAGAGCCAGCTTCAACAAGACCTCAATCGGTTAGCTGAGTGGGAGATGAGCTGGGACATGGAATTTCATCCCGTCAAATGCCAGACCCTGTCAGTCTCCAGAAGCAGATTCCCTCTAAAGCACTCTTATGAACTGCATGGCCATACATATTCTTGAGCAAGTTTCCTCCGTAAAGTACTTGGGTGTTACCATTCAAAGAGAGGTCCGCTGGGACGAGCACATTAACAGTGTGTGCAACCAGGCAAACAAGACCCTGGGGTTCCTAAGGCGCAATCTGAAGATCGGAAACTCAAGCGTGAAAGAAAAAGCTTATAAAGCCTTTGTCCGGCCTATTTTAGAGTACGCTTCTACAGTCTGGGACCCATTTACCCAGAAAAGCATCGACAGGTTGGAGGCTGTCCAGCGACGAGCAGCACGCTTTGTCATGAACCGTTACAGAAGCACCTCGAGTGTTGGCAGCATGCTGGAAACACTGGGCTGGTCTACATTGGAAGAACGACGACGACTATCCAGGCTCACCATGTTATGGCAAAACCTCCTCCTATGTCGGTGTTAAGTCAGGGGTCCCCCAGGGCTCAGTGCTAGGCCCTTGTTTGTTCCTAGCATATATCAATGATCTGCCCGAGAAGCTGACCTCTCAAGCAAGACTGTTCGCAGACGACACTGCGGTATATAGGACAATCGTAAACAGCTCTGACCAGAGCCAGCTTCAACAAGACCTCAATCGGTTAGCTGAGTAGGAGATGAGCTGGGACATGGAATTTCATCCCGTCAATTGCCAGACTCTGTCAGTCTCCAGAAGCAGATTCCCTCTAAAGCACTCTTACGAACTGCATGGTCATATTCTTGAGCAAGTTTCCTCCGTAAAGTACTTGGGTGTTACCATTCAAAGAGAGGTCCGCTGGGACGAGCACATTAACAGTGTGTGCAACCAGGCAAACAAGACCCTGGGGTTCCTAAGGCGCAATCTGAAGATCGGAAACTCAAGCGTGAAAGAAAAAGCTTATAAAGCCTTTGTCCGGCCTATTTTAGAGTACGCTTCTACAGTCTGGGACCCATTTACCCAGAAAAGCATCGACAGGTTGGAGGCTGTCCAGCGACGAGCAGCACGCTTTGTCATGAACCGTTACAGAAGCACCTCGAGTGTTGGCAGCATGCTGGAAACACTGGGCTGGTCTACATTGGAAGAACGACGACGACTATCCAGGCTCACCATGTTGTACAAGATAAAAAATGGGCTGGTCCACTGCTCCGGAATCAAACAGAAACTCGTTCATCTTCCCCCTAGACTGCGACGAAGCCACGACAGACAGTTCCGGCTGGTAAAAACAAGAACAAAGTACAGGAGCTCCTCATTCCTGCCGAAGACAATAGGGGACTGGAACAAGCTTCCAAAAGCAACAGTTGAGGCGGCTACACTCGATACATTTGTGTCTATTGCCTCCTGTATTCCAACCCCCAGTTCGTAACACCACTGCTGAGTCACCCTTGCTACCAGTGAAGCATCCCATTGAAACCCATGCACAGTAACATCGCAAACCCCTCTGAAACATAGGAGCCAGAATGATCAATTCATTGATCGTGGGCCCTCAAAATAAAGAAGAAGAAGAAGATATTTACAACGAACTGAAAAACAACAATAGATGTAGAGTATTCCCGATCAATGTGATCATTATTTAGTACAAATAATTATTTGATCATAATTATTTTATTAAAAAAATATCTTTACTTTCAAATTCAGATAAAATGCTTAAAATAGTTCCTTTATTGTTATTTTAAATGTATTTGTAATTTATAATAAAAATACATTAACATACTAAAATAAAAGCTGATTTATTTTATTGTTTGCACATTAAATTTATTCGACTTCAGTAGATTAATAGAAAATCACTTTCATTGTTTTTGAGATTTCGAATGTATTTAAATGGAATTTTTTTTAGCGTTGTATGGTCTCCCTAGCTCATTCTGATATATATGATAAGCCACCCCACTTACCCCTTTGTGTTACATAATATGAAAACGGTCGCTTAGTTAAATGAATTGAAGGGTGTGTAAGATTTAGTCAAATCATTTGTTGGGGGTGCAGAGTATAGAAAAGGTTGGGAAACATTGCTCTATATCTATGATTAATTTTCAAGAATAGTATGGGTGGAGGCTTGGGAGAGTAGCCACTGCATTAAATGGGAAGCCATGCCATGGTCACGGACAAAAGCCTGCCAATAATTTCTATTAATTATTATTTTCTTTTAGGTAGGCTTATGTAGATGTTATTACTATTAAATTAACTTTTATTAGGCCCTGACTGAATATTTGTTTACCACTCTTCTAATACTCAGATTTAATAGGCCTATAAAATAAGTCATGATGAATGATAAACCTATAAGGCACACTTTTTTTTAGGTCTGTCAATTTGACATGTAATTATAGTTATAAAAAGCTAATGACTCCTCTGTTCTTATACTTTTTTTTCCTTGTGCCATTTGAAAGTCACCTCACACCCCTGAGACTTGAAAACCCTGGCCTGGACCCTAAATAAATTGTTAATTTGATAAGTGAGTTGCAGCTGAGTAGACCGTAGTCACTGTATGTAGGGATATCAGCATCATCACTATCAAGTAGCCTATCAATATTAACATATTTTAATACAAAGTGACTGGGTGGGGCAAGTTGAGCCCAATGAATATTTGTGGCTTCCGTGGGCTCTATTAGTTTTGTGGTGATGCTCCGTGGTCATAGGATGCTTTGCGTTCCAACTCAAACCATTGTCACTGTGTAAAATATGCTTAGGGTGTGTACTGTGTCTCGTCCTACCCGTCACCAAACTTATAAATTATACTCCACACAGGCTGGCTTAAATAGCCTAAGCAAAACTTGTATATGCCTACAGCTGCAAAGAATAAACTATTTAATTTAATTATTAGGAGATATAATAATATTAACATAGATAAAAGTAGTATTAGTATTTGACTACTATTTGAACTATTCCATTTTAAAATAGTAACTCAGACTAGCAATAAAGTTCAGATAAGTAAAAAAATTTACTATTTTAAGGTAAATTATTAGATAATTTAATCATTAATATTTGCTTACGCTTTATCACATAAAAGTTGGCAATAATATAAATAAAAAAGATGTTTTAATATTCAATAAAACGTTCAAACAATTCATTTGGTTCATCTTTTTTTCAAGGACCATGTCCATTCTTCAACATTAGTCCCAAGTGAGTTTCTTACCCAGCTCTGCATGCAGTTTCAATCGCTATTGAAATGTCGGGACAGCAATGAAAATCTCGACCACATGATGCTCTTGCATTAACTCTTGGCATGATTTCTCCTTCGGAGAGAAATGTGTCCATAAACACAAACAAGAAATATAAACCGCCAGAAGGACTGTGATGTCGAAAATTGGTAATTGCTAATGTTAAAAGGTACGGAAAGGATGTAATCGAACGTTACATTTTCGACTTTAAAGGCTGGAGAGTGCGATATAAACCCATTGTACTCGATCCACCAATAATTCTACACACACATACACACTCACGCACGCACGCACGCACTTTCCCTCGTCGCCGTCATAATAATAGTGTACATGTCATATTATGAAGAAACATGCGAAAACCATATCGCATATTTTTTTATTTTAGAAGTAGGCTCAGAAGAAAATGATAATGACATAACATTTTAGGTACATCATGATGAATCACTTTCAAAACCTACCTCCTAGTCCTACGCTGACTGAAACTATCGACGGTCCGTCATAATTTCATACTCCAGGAGGCCTTGTTTGTAATTGTAAGAATAGAAAATAGTAGCATAAGCTCGGAAAATTTTCTTAATATATTTAATGATTATTAAATTTAATGGCATTCTAATAACGTAGGTCTATTCATTACTTAAAGAGTAGTATAGTAGGCATACAATTAATCATTGACTTAGTCTTAGTTCACTTAGACTTGGTAAAGTTAAGTAAATCAGTCAGTTGAGTGTTTAAGTTTAAGGAAGGGCTACAAACTCAGGACTCGGTACATCATAGTACTACATGATTTATCATTATCACATTTTACATTTCATTATTTAATTTATTAGTCTAGATCAGGAGCTGCCGTATCGAGTGATTTATTTATTTTGCTTCTTCTATTTCATTTACCTTTTGAATAAACCTAAGCTGCTGGTTGTTTATCATTTTTAATATTTGAATTAAAATATATATTAGTTAACTTACTCATTTATAAACATTTCATTTTCAATTACTTGGATTAAATCGATAGGCTAATCAAATTGGATATGATCGGGGCATAATTCAGATAAGGCCATAAAAAAGGGCTGGGCCTAACCATAAATAATACTTTTTTTAAATAATTGAGAGGTCGCTTTCATATGTAGACTATTGTAGTTATTCAAGTCAGTTATTTGTCAAATCTTATTTGCATGAATTTGCTGTACTTTTCAGTTCAGAACAATTACAAGAAATGGACCAACTGTTCAACCAAAAACTGAGGTGAGCATACTTTTTGAGATAAGGAAAATCACACTAGACTTTTGCCGTTGGACCAGTGAATGCTTCGACATCTGACATAAACTTAAGACGTGAACATGAAGAAATGATATGGTGTAATGGTATATTTCCCAGAATTAGACAGTAATGCATGGACGGCAATCCTTAAATAATATATCGCATCAAGAAGGAGAGTCACATAAATAATGTTTGTTGAAGGGGGTCAAAGTCAGCCAAACTAGTGTGACATTTATAGATGGCCCCTAGGCCCTACCTACTAAGCTCTATATTTGTTTCGGCACCTGTAACTTAGAGCTACATTTACATATATGTCTCTCCTCACAAAAGGCTCATAACTTCTAAAACATTAGTTTGTCTTTGGTTAGTATTATTATTTTTAATTGAGAACCTTTAAACAAAAGTATGTCCATTTTTCCTATCAGGGAAGTGTGATTTAATTGGATCTGTTATATAACTTGTGTATTATTGGTACTTGTCATTTTATCTAATCTCTAAACAAATTACACTGTATATTTTTAAACAAATGAATTCCTTTAAAATTGTTCCTGCTATCTAGAGAACAAAATACAAAATGCTTGGCTTATACTTCAATAGTACAATTGCATGCTAGTGTTAGTGAGTTACAAATGTCAGTACCCTTGTACTTGTACAAGCTAAGTCAGTACCCTTGTACTTGTACAAGCTAAGAGTGGGGCTGGACACGATGTTTTTTTTTTTAAATAAAGGATTTGATGATGAATTTCTGAAATAGTATTATCTCTTACAAAATATTGATATATATATTTAAGTTTTGTATAACTTATAAGCTTGAAGTTTTATATTAAGTAACTAAGAGGTGCTCACATCTGTAAACAGTTCTTTAAGATTTAAAACCCTCTCCTCATCCAAGCAATGCAAAAACAAAAAACTGTCCCCAATTTCATACTTATGATTCGAAGCTCTAAAGATAAATGTAATTTAAATGAAGTTTTTAATGTATATTGAATATTTAATTTTAGCCACTATGAAATTGACACTTCTATAAAAATAAATTTAATCACTTTTCAAATCAAAGAAAATCTGACTTGAAATTACACTGTTAAAAGTAAATCTGTTCTAAAATGTTGTATAAAATTACTCTTTTTGTTACATGTCTCTTCACGTATTCATACTTTTTTTAGATGATCAAACCTGTAGGCCTAATTAACAAATCAATATTTCTAGTTATTAATCCTATTATTATGAACTTTCTCGCTGTAATGCGAGATTAAGACAAAATAATGTTGTTTTTATTCTTTTAAGATATACACTATTTTAATTATTTTTTTCAGGCTTATTATTTATTATAGCATATAGAGTAATAAAGTATACATTCTTTTCCATACCATGGTAATAACTACAAATATATTATAAGCCCTATAACTTAATAAGCTTCATACAATTAAAATAAAAAGCGAACTACGTTTTTGGGCTTTTTGGGGATACAAAATCTCTTGTCTCTCCCTGCCTTTCAATTATATTTATATGCTTGAATTTCATGCTGCCCATATCCTTTGTATTAAATAACGGGAAAGATGTGAGTGTGGGTGCATCTTATCATCTACTCAGGGCCGTGGTGGCGCAAAGCCTGTGTTTACCCAATTTAGGTGCCCTCCCCCCCCCCCCCCCCCCAAAAAAAAAACAACCTATTATTAACGTAGTAGGCTATATTTTGCATGAACAATTACGATATCGGCGCCCTCTGCAGATCGTGCACGGCCTTGCATCTGTTAAGAATTTTAAATAATCGCACTTATTTTGATATTTATTAGTGCGACACACTTTAACTTATGTAAACTTTCTATTTTGTATCTTTCAAGCCGTCGAATGTCTTACTTGACTTAATTTTTTAATATTTATTGGCTTTGGTATCGGTAATATTTATAGAGAAATCAAGTACTTTTTAAGAACCGAGTACTTTTTTTAAATCCTACGAATTTAAACAAATTATCGATATTTTATTTTAAATTAACTTAATTACGGCAAGGCCCGTAAAATTAAGAAGCATTGATAATAATTGGACTCTTAATTGTTTAAAAAAAATATTTAAAAAGCTATTTAGAAAGTACGAACGATTTTAAAAATCTATTCTTTATTAAAATTGTACAAAATAATCGGATTTTTGTTCACATTGTTTTGTGATTATTAGTTACTTCCCTTTACTTTTTCATATCATAAGCCTTCTGTGTAACAAGAAAATGTGGAACGGAACATAGAAACGTTGAGTTCATTCCCGGCATAGGTTTAAGTTGAAATTATCTTGCGATCCAACTTAGTCAAGTGTTATTAAGAAAATGGTGTAATTTCTACGCACCAGTTTGTATCAAACACTCTATAAATAGTTATAATAAGTTGTTTTGTTTTTTAATTCATAGTCGTGCTTTGAAAAGTATGCTAGTACAATTCTGAATTTTAACAATTACTTACTGCGTGACACTGATTCCAAATAAACATTAATCAGTAGCACCAAGTACCTTACAGACTACAGGAACTACAACTGAAAGACTTCACTCATTTTTTAATGTACTTTATCTCTTTAGTGTATTTGTTCCAATTGAAAAAAAGAGGATGCACATGTTTACATCATTATTTATATTATAAATCATGTGATATGTTTTACTACTAATAATAAATGTTCTTCAAATAAACAAGCATTTATCTACCCTCAAAACACAAAAGAAATATCATTTATAGTTCATAGTGTAGGCCTACATTTGGAGAATAGTTACATTTGAGGGCTCACTACTAACTTACTAGACCTAAGTAAATATATTAGTAGGCACTTTGAAACTCACTCGTGTATACCTTCTCACGCTTATAAAAAAATTACGCAAAAACTTATGTCATTTAAAATTTGTCTCGGTGATAATCTTGTTTTTTTACGTCAGTTTTCTAATAATAAACTATTTTGTCATCAGTGACTTAGAGCGCATATTTTTTTCCCAACACGATAACATTTTTGTAACATCATATGGAAGATTTTGTGACTGGCAACATTTTTACTCTTGTGTAATGGTATGTACTTAATAGATTATTATTTTAAAAATCTAAAATTTTACCATTTAGTATTTTATCGTACTACTGCCTGATAAGTTCACAAACAGGAATAACTTTATTTCATTAATTTTTATTATTTATGCGATGTAAGAGAATATTATTAATATATTTATATTTTAATAAGCCTTAGCCTAATACTAATATTACTAATAAATTAATTCTTATTCCTATTAAATTAATTCTATGACTAAAACTGAATTTACACTTACAGGCCAAATTTAAGCTAGTATTTTAAAACTTTTAATGAAGCATTCAATTACAATTAAAAGACATCAAATAAAGAAATAAGACTCAACTTCATCAAAGTATTTATTTTTTATTAGGACATAGAAAAACCATTTTAACAGACCAATATTTAATATTTCTAATAAAATAAAGGAAAAAGAAATTAATTTTACCAAACAAAAAACTTTAATGATAATAAAAAAGAAATTAGGTAGATTCATGATTACGATTAGATGTTATATCTAGGTTTTTTTCAGATAAAATAGAAAATGTTAATTTTCTAATAAAGAACTCTATGGAATCCTTCCATCAACAAATGGGGCACTTTTGGATGTAGATGGCAAAGACAAAGTATATGAAGGAGGGATTGTGGACCAAGTAATCTGAAGAGCAATCTAAATGGAAAATGACAGGCAGAACATCCCAATTACCTTTGAAAATTTAATGACATACCGCTGTACTGGCATGCTCCTTTTAGTCTTATGGGTGATACTAGTAGTTTTTATTTATAATTTTACTTTTTTTTTTTTTTTTTAAATACTTTTCCTTACCTTTTATAAATATAAGAATTTATTTTAAACTTAACTGAAGATCATGATTCATTAAAATACCATTAACATGCTGTTATTTTTTTACCGCTGTACTGGCATGC